TTTGAGACTACTTTATTTAGTAAGTCAAAGTTAACATGCGCTAAACGCCTATGCCATAGCCATGAGTCTTCACTCATTATTATGAGGCATTTGTCACTTGTTAACGATACTTCATTTAAGTCAAGCATATATACGTTGTTTACTCTAAAACCATAAACATATTCTTCTTGTCATTATCATGCACAATTTTGCAACACTCTTTTGAAAATGATACATTGTATCCTTTGTCGCATAATTGGCTAATGCTAAGCAGATTATGTTTAAGGCCCTCGACAAGCAACACGTCGGAAATCGTAGTGGAAGAGGGGTTACCTACACTACTTTTACCTAGTATTGCTCCACGATTGTTATCACCATAAGTTACATACCCTTTCTTCTTAGCCACGAAGTTTATGAATAGGGATATGTCTCCAGACATGTGTCTTGAACATCCATTGTCGAGAACCCATCTTCTCTCGGTGGTCTCGATACATTTTACCTATTAAAACATAATTAGCAAGAGGAGGTACCCAATGGCATATTGGGTCCTAATATGTTAGCGACAAGGTGGTTGCATTTGGGCAACCATTAATAGATGCCTTTAGGAACCAAAAATCTCCTAAATCGGCATTTAGCAATGGAATAGCTTTTCTTGCAACAATATAAGCATGCAAAATCGACTTTAGAATAACTTTTACTTTCTTGATCCCTAATTACATATGCATATTTTTGATATGGGCTCACCATACTTTTTCTAAAATCCTTTCTATCAATAGCAAATGTAATTTTAGGCTCAAGTGCCTTGTTTAATTTGGCCTTAAGGTTTCTAACTTCACCTTGCCAAATATGACAAGTAGCACATCCAAAGTCGAAAGGATTTCTATGGTCCTCACAATCTGATTTATTACTTTCCACAATGGAAGCCTTAAGGTCCTCTAGTTTCCTTTTGGACTCTTTAATTTTGTGCTCTAAGTAAAAATTCTTTTATTAGAGGCAAGTCTCTTAAAGGCTTCAGTTGCTTCATTGTGTAAAGTATTGAATGCGGTTTGTAATTCTGAATGCGACATATTTGAGGACTTCTCATATTTAGAGTGTCGTACCTGCTTTTTCTTATTTTTCTGATGTGCGGAAAGGCATAGGTTCACGAACTCTTCTTCATCACTAGAGCTTTCATCAAAGGAGGATGAGTCGCTATCGCTTTCCCAAGCTATATACGCTCTCCTTGGCTTTGATGATTTCTTGTATGACTTGGATGATTCCTTTTCCTTTCCCTTTTTGTTCATTGGACAGTCCATTTTATAGTGTCCGGGCTTCCCACACTTGTAGCACGACCCTCTAGTCTTTTTACCTTTTGAGTCATCATCTTTGGAGTACCTCGATTGTTTCCGAAAGTTTACCAAGTTCTTCTCGGAATGTTGGATGTCGTTCTTTCTCACGTAACGGTTGTAACGTTTAACAAACAGCCCCATATCTTCGCTTTTGTCCTCTTCTTCTTCGTTGCTTGAGGAATAATCACTTTGCTCTTTTGCTTGAGACTTCGAGGAGGAAGTCTTAAGAGCTATAGATTTCTTTTCACTCACCTTCGTTTTGTCCTTCTTTTCTTTCTTTTCGCGTTGGTCTAGGCTCAAGAGTACATGTTCATGCTCTTGTAGTTTGCCAAACAATGTTGTCAAGTCTAATATGGTAAGATCATTTGCTTCTTTGATGGCGGTCACTTTCGGCTGCCATTCCCTGTTAAGACATCTCAAGACCTTATTAGTAGCAACATCATTGGAAACAGGCCTACCTAATGAATGTAAACGATTGATGAGATGAGTAAATCTCTTTTGCATGCCAGCAATGGTTTCCCCTTGCTCCATGAAAAAATATCAAACTCTTATGTTAATGTGTTGATTCTAGCCAACTTAACATCGTTCGTCCCCTCATGGGCGATTTGTAGTGAATCCCACATGGCCTTAGCAGTAGGACAATGGGATACACGATAGTATTCATCTACACCTAATGAGGAGATTAGGATATTTTTGCCTTTCCAATCATAATTATATTTTCTCTCATCATTATGCTTCGGGCTTTGGCACAACTACATTATCCGCATTGGTCATGGTAATTTCTATTGAACCATTGAGGATAACGTTCCATATTTTTCTATCTATGGAGTTTATGTGTACCCGCATACAGTCTTTCCAATAAGTATAATTTTCACCATTGAAAATGGGAGCTCTATTATAAGCCCCTTTAGGTTCGTTAGCCATTTTCTATCAACGTTGTATTCGAAGCACCGAGTAACCGGAGCTCTGGATACCACTTGTTAGACTATGGCACGGATCTAGAAGGGGGGTTGAATAGATCCCAATTAAAAATTGAGTCGGCGCTACCAATTTAAAAATTGGTTTTAAAAAATTGTTTTACGTGCGGAAGCGGCCGAGGAAAATATAGTCTATAACGAACGATTATTGGAAAACTGGATATGCATTGAGCCTATGGATTAATGACAATATGGAAAAAGAATCACAACACTAATCACACTTATCAATGATCTAATTCACTTGTTAGGATTCCTAGTTTCAATGATTTAAAGAGCAAACCAAAACTAGATACACAAATAAGACAATTTTGGTTCAGGCAAATTGTCGAATACTTGGTGTGCAAAAACACTCCAAGTTATATTTATGTTGAGTAAGTGATTCCAACTAGCCTAGTACAATGTCTTATTGTACTTTGGTTTCAAAAACAGAGTTTCAACCTCTTACTCAATTGATATCACAGTTTGACAATAGTGCTTATACGAAAATCACTTATTATTATGCTAAAACGAAAATGCTGAAAAATAGAGAAGACAAATATTTGGTGAGGCAGTTCCCCCGTCGTCCTCGCTTCGGGGTACGTCTGCCCTCAATTCTAAAACTAGAATTGAGATAGATTTAATAGATATCACCTGTTGAATGTAACAGTTTATACAAGGATTGAACAGCAAATTTACAACAGAATTCTCAAGACGTTGAATGTTGCTTCCACTCCTTGCCCCTTGATTCAAGATGAATCAAGTCCTCCGATCATTGTTGATAGACCTCCGATTCCAGCCTCCTTATTGAATAACCCTCAGTTCTTCAAATCTTCGGCCCGACTGATCTTAACTACAACAAATCAAACCCGAGATCTTCCCCTCAATATCACTGAATCCGCTACTAGACTGTTGAAGACTACCTCTTCACAATCACCTTCGCTCAGCTGACCCTTGATGAAGAATCTCGTCCAAAAACCCCCCAAAAATCAAACCAATCTTGGAGGATAAAACCCTAACGGTTTTATTCAAGAAAGAACATGTCGCAAGCTTCAACCCGAACCAGATTACCCAATCTCGGCTTCGAACCTTATCACCTTTAATCACTCACAAGGCACTTCAAAAATGGCTGTGTGTAATTGATATGTTGTGAGATGTTAAAGATGAAGATGATGAATCTTGGACACCTATTTCACTCTTTCTTATTCTTTGAACACATGAATCAATTTTATCAAATGTTGGTTGACATAGGTATTTGACCTTCTATTTATAGTAACAAACCAACCAAAGACATAACAGCTTTTCAAGTAATAGTGGGAATCAATTAAAAACATTATTTCCGCGCGAACGGTCGACCATAGCAGGTCTATGCGTCGACGCATAGCCTGCACCTTTGAAAATCTGCAAAATGCATCAGTATGCGTCGACCATACAGTCGGCGTGCGCTGACCCGTTGGAGAGTAAATTATTCATGCGACGACCCTGCGGTCAACTCAAACCTTCATGCGCTGACATGTGAGAAAGCATACTGATGTATGCGCTGACCCGTGGAAAAACACATTGATGTATGCGCTGACCCTATGGTCGACTCATACCCTGCAAATCTGCAAAAATGAGATTCTTGTGGTTTTTCATGCATTTTGTCATGACCACATTTTATCCACACATGTTGTATTAACTATAACAGTTTTTAGATAAATATAAAAGGATACAGTAGGTGATATGTTGCATTTGTTTGGTAGAGGTAGAATTTACAGTTGTCGATTTATCCATGGTTATAATTTGTTATCATAAAACTTATATCAAGTGTTGTATGCAAACTCGTGTGGTGTATGGTGGTTTGCCCTCACAAAATTACAGTAACCTATTGTATCAAAATATACACTTTCTTTTTCTATTATGCTAGACATATCGGATCTAATTACAATTCCCTCTCTTAAAAGATAATTGAATTACATTAGAATCCTCTCTTTTAAAAGATAATTGAATTACATGCCTCTCCGCTCCTATGTTAAAATCTATCCTTCAATCACTTGTTAAAATCTATCTTTAAATATACATAAACTCAATTATAAATTAAAGAAACTAATTACAGTCGTAATTAATAAGGTTTAGAGATAAACTCAATTATGATTTAGAGTTATCAAAAAAACCTCAAAACCTTTGCCTTGGATAAAATTATTTTCTAGATAAAAATTAGTAAAACATATACCTAGATAAAAATTATTTTCTACATTCTCACTTCTAAACAAAATTAATTTTAAGAAAATCAAGTTCAAGCACAAAAAAGTTTGCAATTACAATTCATCCAACTTTTTTTTCTTCTGTGAACTCCATTTGCATTTGAAAAACTAAGAACCACTATGTTAACACTGTAACTTTAACTTACCATGTGACAAGGAGGAAGGGGAGGAGACAGACATAAAAAAAGCATTTGGTTGCCCCTCAATTCCTCACTCCTCACTGTCCCCCTACAGTTTCAAATAGTTTCTATATCTAAGTCTCCCTTTTTATAGATATTATGGAAGTGCATCAAACATTATCATCTAAAATTGCCTAGAATAGAACATAAGTTTCAAATATGCAGAGTCCTAAACAATAAACTATTCAACAAATCAAAATAATCCCTACCACCATGCACTGGCATCAGGGAAGTAGGACATATCATCAGGCCTTTTGGATTTCCATTTCATTCTTCTCTACAATTGACAATACAATTAAAATTTTATAGAAAACTGACTCAATTATCTCTACGCATCTTCACATTAAGTGGAACCTCCTTGTAGGAAACAACCTTCAGAGCTGATCGGCGCGAAGGCCGGCTAATAGATGATCTTCTTTCACGAGGATCAAGTGCACAGTTTTCTGAAGTGCAACTTGATGCAGTAGGAAGACTTTCTGGCAAGTTATCACATAAACTGGAGACTTCAAATTTTGGATCATCTATATCAAAGAAGTCTTCAGCTGTTTCTGGATTCCCATGTTTGAACAGGGAAGATTGCCTTCTCAAACTATGCCTGTAAATATTGAGGGAAGACATGTAACTGACTTATCTAATTTAATCACATATTCCAATTTCAGGCATTCAAATCCAGTCAGAAAGTGGATGTTTAGAATTACATACCTCTTATTTTCAATATTCTTTTTGGCAAGAGCTTGTTGAGTGTTAGTAGGTCCCAAGGCTGCAAGCAAAAAATATGTTTAAGGACAGATAACAAAAGAAAAAGGGAAAAAAAGAGAGAAAAATAGCAACAATTACATTCAGTATCTTGTCTCACTACATCATTGGATCCTAAAGATGTTGATTCATTCTCATTTGCCAGATTTTCTAGTGGTTGTGAGGCATCATATTTTATTTCAGGTAAGTCTTCTGTTCGTCCTGATTTTTCAGCTTTCAACCCGGTAGATTTCCGTCTTGCAGAAGGCCTGTTTGCATATTTGAGGGAGACATGTAAGTTGCCTTGTTCCTAGGTATCCCAGGGTCCAACGTTGGAGCTCAGACATTAGTCATGCATAGAAGGTAAACTTAAACCCATACCTCTGAGTGTCAACCTTTTCTATTGATTTGACTTGTTTAACAACATCAGCTGCAGAAGCTGCATGAGAGAAATACATACTCAAGATATCTACGAGAAATTTTGTATACACAGAGTGAGTTCAGTATACTAATTACATTGACATCTGGATACTCTCTTCCTTTTCGCTTGCCCCTTGTTATTTTCTTGAAACTTTAGATCTGACTGCTTACTCAAAGAAAAGGATAAATTGATGAAGTTCCAGTGAGCTGGAATAAAAGAAAGAAGAACAAGCACAAAAGGCCAATGAAGGAAAATATATATAAGTACCTCATCTGCATCGATGTTATTATTCAGTTTTGCTTTGTGATTATTTTCCTACGAAAAGAAAGTTGTTAAGAGTCAAAAACTAAAGTAGGGCTCTCTGAATCTCTCATTTACAATTCATCAGATTAGAGATGAGTTAAACTGACCATCAATTTCAATCTCATAGTATCAAGTATAGCACTTTTGCCTACTAATTCAAGTTGAAGTTCCCTCACCTGGACGACAGCAAATTGAATGTCACTAAACAAATCAAAAGAATAAGAAATGAAAGCAGCAGGTGTCAATGCACCAAAGGTGTTCAAGACTCACCATCTGTCTACTCGTATTAATCTCCTGCATTGCATATAGATAGATAAATAAAAGCAATACAAATCAGAAATCGTAAAATTCGAATATCAACAATCAATCAATAATATCAAACAAATCAAAATACACAATATCAAAACACATATAGTCAATACCCGCATCATTTGAGTATTTGCAAGTGCAAGTTCTGAATTTTGCTTCCGAAGTTTCTGAAAATTGGTTTGATACTTTTGATGCTGTAGTTTATATGATTCTATTACCGCACTGTCCATAAAACCATAAAAGTGAAACAAACCAGAGGAAACAAAAACTATTACCACAGTAATTACATTGATTACAGAGAAAAATATAGAAAAGTAGACACCAAATTAACATAAAAGATTACTTTCTATGAGCTAGGAGCTTCCTCATAGTTGCGTTCTCCTGGGAAGCAAATTCAAAATATCCATAAATGTAGTGATAATCATCAATCAATAACAATAATACTACTGTAACATTATATGTATATATAGATACCTTGAGAATCAGGTCAACAGAGACATCAGTTGCAGGTGGAGGAAGTGGCGGTGCAGGTTGTAGATGTTGGTCCATGTTGGTTATGTCGGCCAGAACTTTCTTCTGACATGCTCCCACAGAAACAGAATCTCCCTTCGAAAACAATCCTCTTTTCGCTTTCTGAGCTGCAAACAAATGCAATCCATTTTTCAAATACTACACGGAACCCAAAATAACCTAAACTTTTGCATATAGAATACGATTTGGATTTCGGAACCTCAGTTAGATCTAAAGCTTCACAATCACAAATTTGAAGTTAAACTATCAAATTTCTGGCCACAATTAACAGCGCTTAATTCATGATTTGTAAAAGAACTGGAAATCACGAAATGAACAGGAAAACCCTAATTGTAGAGAGAGAAGACGAGTGAGAAAATTCTAGGGTTTATGGACGAAATTGAAGTGAAAGAAGAATGAAGAAAGAAAGATTGGTACCTCCAGTTTCATAAACGGCGCCGGGAGGCTGTAAATCGGAGTCGCGGAAGACGGTAGTATCTTCCATTCGGGGTTTGTCGCGATTCAACGGAGGGAGGGAAACTCAAAAAGATATCGTCAATTCGAATTATGTGCTACTAACGGCGTTCCGAACCTGTTTCCAAACCTCTTTTTGAATTTTTAATATTCGTTCGGGCACGTTATCTATTTTATTAGTATCAGTAGAGTTTAGTTTTGATATATTTTTTATATAAAAGAAATCTTATCCATAGCATACCACTATACTAGTTAGATGTAACATCATAACTATCATACTCATACTCATGTATCTATAATTTTTAGGAATTACTTAATGCATCATATAGATTAGTTTTTTATTTATGTTAAAAATCAAAATTATTTTTAAAATCTAAAAATAAATCATTAGACGCATCACAAGTATATCAAATTTATATGTTAATGAATTATACCTTCGTTTTTTTTTTAAAATCGTCTGAAAATATATTTCTAAAATTCAGAAATATACTTCTAAAAACAATTAAACATGAGACATGATCTCAAATACTTATCCTTTACGGCATTAGTTCTACATCAAGTAAGAAAATTAATTAGTATACCACGGATACTACATATCAACATCTCTAATGCAGTTTTTCTATCTCATTAAAAAATATTTTTATGGACAAAACTATCACACACCTTTCACCATTGTCATTCCTCTTTTGGTTTTAAATATTTTTAGAAGTAAACTTTCAGATTTATTTCAGAAGTTTACTTCTTGATTTATTCGAAGTATTTTTTTTTTTTTTTACAAAACGAAGACGTGACTCATTTAGGTATGAATTTAGTGTAAATGAATATATGGTGAATCTAAAAATGCATATTCGGACTAAATTTGGGAGGAAATGGGGTGAGTTTCACTTAAGACGTGTTTTGGTGTGAAAATGGTGCGTCCGAAAATATATTTTCAAAATCAGAAGGGTATTTTCTGATTTTCATATGCTGTTTTTCCACCATTTAAGGTGGGATTAACAATTCCTTTTTTTTTTTAACCAAAAACCATATATTTAATTTTGGACTTGGCCCAATTGGACTATAGTACAATCTGGTTCACTTTATATTTGTCAAGAACTGATCCGGAGATGCATATACGGAATCACCCCGAAAATTTTTTGGAGATTCGTCTTCAGATTAACACCTAAAAGCACTTTGTGCTTTACAAGTGAACCATTCACCCCAAATATTTTTAGAGGTTATTCCGGAGATACATCTCCGTAATTTTTTTTTGATGATTTTGTATATGCATATATGGAATAACACCTGAAAGCATTAGGAGTTTTTTTCTTTGGCAGGAAGTGTCCCAAATTGATATCTTTTAGGCCAACTTATATTTTTAGGCCATTTATACTAAGGATGTCATAAAACCATGTTAATTATACTAATGTAATACAAGAATGTCATATATAAATTCAAACAATAATACAAATAAAATGTTAATCAATTGATCGAAAATGTTACCATGATACATAATTTGTACAGAAAATACAATTGTTACCAAAATACGAATAAAAATAAACTATTGTGAATATCTAACCTCATTGTTTCTCCTTTGTCGCCTGTCCTGTAAGGTATTTTGTGCCTCGAGTAAGATGGTATGTATGACGGACATGCCAAATTATCCTCTCTCTATGACATCTCTCGCAATTGTCGCAATATGATGATTGATCGGTAACAGGTCCTTGGCGTGGTCATCATTAGCATGTTTCTCTTTTAATATCTTTTGATGAGCAAGCCTAGGTGGTGCTTGATCACACTAAAATTCACCGTATTTCTGACTCCGATTTCGCATGCATTCTTAGCTTTTATTGTTGTTTTGCTTTGTTATTGCTTTGTTTTCTTATGTTTTCAGGTTTTTATAATAATCGGAGCTTGAATCGGGAAAAGGAGCGAAAAAGGAGTGAAAACGGACGAAAACCTAGAAATTCAGCATTTTGCACTTGCGGCACCCACCGTGGCGGGCGCCATGGGGTTAGCCATGACGTGGCCACGTCTCAAGACCACTCCTCAACCTCCAAGACCCACGATCCCCACTCCATCATCCCCTGTAGGGACCATGGCGGGCGCCATGACCTTGTGGCGGGCGCCATGACCTTGTGGCAGGCGCCACAAGGCAAAATTTCATAACCTCCACTTTTTAGTGGAGGGGCGTCCCGGTCATCTCATGCTTTCAGTTTTTACTATAAATAGGACCTTAGATTTTCGTTTTTCTTCATCCAGAATTAGAATTCTCTAGGCATATATCAGTTATAAAGCAGTTGTCATTCCACATCGGGGTGCCTCTGCAATCGAGTGATCGAGTCTGTAATCTGTCTGTGGTTCGAGTTTTGGAGCACTCTGGAGGAAGTTAATCCTGCCGCCATTTTAATTCCAGTTAGTATTTTATTTTTCCGCATTGCTTTACTTTTATTTATTTTCCCGCACTCGCACATTTACTTTGTTTATTTCCCGCACTCGCACATTTACTTTGTTTATTTCCCGCACTCGCACATTTACTTTGTTTATTTCCCGCACTCGCACATTTACTTTGTTTACTTCCCGCACTCGCTTTAAATTACTCATATGAAAAACTATAAAAAGAATATTTACTTTATCATGTCTAACTAATCCCATAAAGGTTAGAATGTAAGGATCGTAATTAAACCAGTAATCAGTATAATTGTTCGTGGAAACACCTAAGGGCTATTTTATCTTTCAATTCAAGTAATTGTTTTTAACTATTTCAAAAACAGCCAAAAGCGCTTTGTATAGTTCATTAGGAGTTTTTAGATTAAAAAGAAAAGAGATTTTAAAACGATTTTCGGACGCGTTATGAGATTTAGAGTCTGGTTCATAAGAACCTCTTTTTGCTAAGAAGTCCAGGTTAAAATACTTTTCAACTTTGTTAAGAAACTATATTTCTTAAAAATAGGTTTACTACTCTAACGCAGTACGCACCTTTTTATCCGTGACAATAGGAGGGGTTGATTAGAGAGTACAACTCGGTTCTGAATACGCGAAAGCGACAGTTCCTGTTAAATTAGTTCTTTTCAAAGGAGAAAACATTGCCCATAAGTAGTTCCATTAACAAGTACTGGATTATCATTGATTACGTGAATTACATTCGAGCCTGTCTTTTATTTATTATTTAAAATTATAATTTTATTTACCATTGCACCCTTACTAAAACCCTTAAAAATAGTTGCCTTAGATAAACACCATAACAACAGGTACGATAGATTGACACTTGGTCTCTGTGGATTCGATAATCTTTTATATTACTTTGACGTGATTCGTACACTTGCGAAAAACACGCATCAAGTTTTTGGCGCCGTTGCCGGGGACCAATATCGTCAAATTTCATTACCCTGTAGTTATACCGTTTAGACTAAGGTTGTTACCCACCGGTCAATGCGAAAGACTCGCAGTGCCGGAAGTTTAGTAGACCCTCTAGCTGAACCTGAACGTTACGCTCGCGCACGTTTATTTTTCCATAGGAATAGGAGAGCTATGGCCGAAGATCAAAATCGAAGACCTCTTAAGGACTTCGCCCAACCATCAAACGAGGAACCTAGTTCCAGTATAGTAAACCCCGCTATCCCAGCCAATAATTTTGAACTTAAGCCATCCCTGCTGCAATTAGTGCAACAGAGACAATTCGCAGGTCTCGCTACTGATAACCCGAACCAACATTTAAAAAACTTTCTTCAATTAGCAGACACCTTTAAAACCAATGGAGCTTCTCCTGAGGCAATACGCTTAAGATTATTTCCCTTTTCCCTCAGAGATAAAGCTCTATCATGGTTAGATTCCCTTCCACCCAATTCAATAACAACTTGGGATGACCTTAGAAAAGTTTTCCTTGCTAGATATTTTCCCCCAAGTAAGACCGCTCTTCTTCAAAACCTAATAACTAGATTTACCCAACACCAAGGAGAGTCGTTGTTCGAAGCCTGGGAGAGATATAAAGAACTATTAAGAGCATGCCCACACCATGGCCTAGAGAATTGGCTAATCATCCAAACCTTCTATAATGGACTTCTTTATAACACTAAAATGACCATCGACGCTGCCGCTGGTGGCGCACTGATGAACAAACCTTACCCTGAAGCTAGTGCCCTTATCGAGGATATGGCCCAAAACCATCAATCATGGGGAGTAGAACGAGCGACAGTGGAAAAGAAGGAAGCCCAAGGAGGAATACATGAGCTAAGCTCTATAGACATGATGCAGGCTAAAATGGACGCGTTGGCCCTTAGAGTCGAACATATGTGTACAACTCCGAATACTGTTGCCGCAGTTTCGCCGAATTGTGAGATATGTGGAACGCAAGGACACCAATCCGCCGAATGCAATCTGTTGAATGAAACCAACACTGAGCAAGTGAACTATACCCAAGGGAACCCATTTTCAAACACATATAACCCTGGATGGAGGAATCACCCAAACTTCTCCTACAAAAATAATAACCCTATCCAAAATACCGCACCTCCGAGACAACAAGGTTACCAAGCCCCTAGAACAAATCAACCTATGCAACCTGTACCACCTAGCCCGAGCTTTGAGGAAGTTGTAAAAGATTTTATCGTTGCTCAAAAACAACAAAACAAAGAGTTCATGAACCATAACGTCCATGTTAACGAACTAATTACCAAGTTAGGAACCAAGGTTGATCAAATTATTACTCATAATAAGATGCTTGAAACCCAGATCTCTCAGGTAGCGTTAAACCAAGCCCCACAGACTACACCTGGAGGACAGTTCCCTGGACAACCTCAACAAAACCCGAAAGGGCAAGCTAATGCCATTACTCTACGAAGTGGAACCGCTTATAAGGAACCTTTAAACCCTAGATTAAGTGAGCCCGAAACTTCTGAGAGGAATGAGGAAAAGGAACCAGAGAAGCCTGAAACCCCGGAAAGTCAAGAAAAAGGAGAAGAACCTAAAAATAAAACCTATGTACCGCCACCGCCATACAAACCACCAATACCTTACCCTCAAAGATTAAAGAAAACCCAAATCGATAATCAA